CTATGGAGTTGAGGCTCCAGGCGGCAGGGAGGGAGGGAGAGTCTGTAGATTTTGCTGTGACCAGAGAGCTGCTATTTATTTTCTGTTTCGCAGATAAATATTTAAATAACAATTCCAATAAAATTGGAAATAATGGCTTTACCTATCTAGAAGCTAATTTACATATCTTTAATTTTTTTAAGATTTATTTTATTTATTTATGCAGACAGAACTGGGGTGCAGGCCAGAGGTGGGGGGGTGAGCGGACTCCCCAGAGACAGAGTGGGGCGCAGAGCAGGCAGATCCACTGAGACCCACTGCTGAGGGGGGAAGATCTGCTGCGCCCTGGGGTCGCTCCCTGGGGCGGGGCGTGGACTGGGGTGCAGGGAGACAGCTCAGCCTGGCCCCGAGGCCCCCAGGGCCTATCTTTACACACAGACTGGGGAACCTTTGTTAGAGCTAAAACTCTGTTACTTTATATCGAAGCTTTAGCACCAAAGCAAAAATACCCGGATATGAAAAGTGGCCCCCAGGGACCAGTGCACCCTGAGAGCAGCCGCCGGCCCCCCACGCTCCCCACTGCCGGGGGAGGCAACGCTGGCGTCTTAATGAGCATTAGCAGTTGATTTTAACTTGAGAGAGAAGAAAGCCAGAGAGAGCACACAGACCGCGGAGCACCGGCCAGAAGAGGCGCGTCCCGGGCACTGCCTGCACCCCGAGTCTTCTGGCCCAAGTGGAGAAGGCCGGGGACCAGGCACCACAGACCGAGTGACAGCGGGACCCTGAGCTCGGGCTGAAGGGCAGCGTGGACACGGCCAGCGTTGCCCTGTGTAGACAGCTGTGGCTGCGGACGGGAGGCGCCCAGCTCCGCTCCGGGGACCCCCGTGGCACCTCAGGGGCAGATGCTGTCCCTGCCCGCCCAGGCCTGGACCCCTGGCCACGCGGGCCCAGACCGGAGGCTCCGGCACGAGCCCGCTCAGGGAAGACCCCCTTGCTCCTGCTCAGCCAGGGGCGTGGGCGGCAGGGCAGCCCCGGGGTCAGCGCGGCGGGGCGTCCTTTGGGGCCGTGTGGCTGCCGAAACCGCAGCGGTCCGTCGTGACTGTGAAGGAGTCGCCGCCCTCTTGTGGA